TTGGTCCCGGCAGCAGTTTGTACTCCCAAAATAAGAGTTATTTAAAATCCAGCGCAAGCTCTAGTTGTACATTTCAATGTATTAATTTCATGTTATAAACCCTTGTGTATTTTGATAACAGGAAAACTAGTATCAGGTAAGAATATTTAGCATTTTATTCATGTGCATTTTAATATTTATGGCAATCAAATATTAATTTATGCAACTGGTAAGTAATGGTAAACGGAGTTAATATTTCGCAAGGTATGTTCCGTTTAAGATGCAGAGCAACAGCTAGATAAAAGAGGGGGATCTTTGCAAAAATGTAACTGCTACAGATATTTCTATTTAAGAAATAGAAGTATTCTGTTCTCTTCTGCAAGGAGATGGGCCCACAGAAATCACTGTGTTTGTCCTGAAGTTCAGCAGAGTTTGTATTCAACGTGAGCAGGGCAGCATATCATCACTGAAATTAATAGCAGATTCCTAAACGTTTTGGCGAGAGCAGCCCCGGTGGGGCACTCGGAGGAGGAGGGGGTCAGGGCTTCGGGGAGTAAACGGAGTCTGCAGAGCTTCAGCCAGTCTGGTCTCTCTCTGCCCAGTTTCCAGTCTGGCTCCTACGAGCTGCGGATCGAGGTTCAGCCGAAGCCCCACCACCGGGCACACTACGAGACGGAGGGAAGCCGAGGGGCCGTCAAGGCGCCGACCGGAGGCCACCCCGTCGTCCAGGTAAGGGACTGCAGAACAGCTCCGCGGAGGAAAAGTGGGGGGCGAGTCCGTTTTTTGAAAGTCTTGCTGGGGGCAGACCCTGGAAGAGGAGGACCTTGTGAACCTGGGTGTGCTTGTAGAGGTGCATGAAGTGTCTGACGCTGAGCTGTGGTGAAGTCCTAGGTGGTTGTAACGTTGGTTTGGATTAGTTTGTGAAAGCTCAGAAGCTTGGGCAGAATATTTGCCACCTTTTCTGGGCTATATGTTAAACCTCCTGTGACCCACCGCTGCCATAAGATGTCCAGCTGTCCTGAATTCCAGCTGAGCCCCTTCTATCAGACGAGCAGATCGCATTAGATCTGCGGTACCACGTCCTCCTGCCCGCGCTGAGCGGGGGTCTGGGAGCCGTGCTCCCCCAGGTCCGCGCGGCAGAGCTGGTGCCTGTGCTCCTGGCCGTACCCAGCCGGGCTCCTCTCTGGTCCGTACGGCCAAACGGCACTCGACCTCTGCACCTTCACCCGAGGTTTAAGGAAAGGCAAAGCAACCTTCATTGGCCGCGATGGGACTTGGATTAGGGTATGGATGTTCAGCTGGAGTTTCCCCAGAGTTAGCAGCTCCTTTTGCTGGAAATGTCTTTCATGGATTTGCTTTTTCCTTAGCAATTTTACTCTTTTTTTCTGACCTCTGGTTACATGGTAAAACTTCTAATTTTTAGCCCCTTTAAATTTAGGTCAGAGAATTTCACCCGTGTGTAATTCAAGCTCTCAGTACATCCATCTCAGTCCAGTGCCTGGTTTATATGTAACCTGCTGACGCCGCGTCCCACCTCGTGTGCAGCTCTGCTTGTCACCCGTGGTACCGCCGCCTCCTCTGGGTCCTGGATGTGCACCGCCACGGGGAAACCTGTGCGAGCTGTAGCAGCCGTGTGATAAGGAGACAGCAGGGCACGATAATTACATAGCAGTGGGGGGGATTTCAAGAAAAAAGTTTGGCCTCTGTAAAGGTGTAGATATAGATAGGACGCGTTTATCGGCTTTGCCATTTCATAGGGAGAGGGTGAATGAGTTTAGGCAGGAGCTCCCTCGTGATTTGGGCTGATGTCACTACAGGAACAAAATGTTATATTTTGAGGTATCATTTCTGTTGCTCTCAAGAGTGCAGTTCTGGCCCCAGCTATGCCGGTGAGATGGGAAGTCACCCTGCTGAAATCAGTGAGCCAAATCCAAGCCGAGGGTGATGGGGGTAACAAAATTTGGCCCTTTGCTGACCTGGGAGGTGGATGAGCTGAACCCTTATTCTCTTGCGCAGGGCGAAGGACTTTTCCTTCGCTTTTCAAAGGGTAACGTAAAATAATGGCTGAGTAGTGCGCTGGGGCCGTTCGGGGCCACGTCAGACTTCTCACTCGTTTTGTCCCAGTTTCAGCCAGTGCCATTCGGGAAGGAAAGCCAGGCTTTTGGTCGGGCTGCGAGGTGTCAGGGCGATACTGCCGGCGATGAGGTGCAGCCGCTGCACGCAGCAGCCACAGCTGCAGCTTTCCCCAGGCAAAGCTGGGCTGCACCCCGCGCGTGGTCCTGTCGTACTCGGGGCGTGCTTGGCAAGCCTGGACCAGGGAAAAGTTGAAGTTTGTGCTTAGTTTTAAGCGTGTCATCAATACCACTAATGTCACTGGGTTGGCTTGTGCTTAACTTCAAACACATGTTAGATATTCCCCTGCAGGCTCAGCCCCTTTTAAAATCAAGCCATAAATTGTTAAATCAATGAATTTGTTTACTTTGGTTGAGCTGGACTTACATGTACGGACTGGATATTTGAGTAAAGGGTGCAGGATAATAATAAATAGCAATCACATTTGACATACCTTAATATGTATGCAAACTTTTTTAGTTTATGAATCTGACAAGCTCCTATCCCACGGTGGCGTGTTTGAAGCTACGTGGGTGTATGAACTACAAGGCCAATCAGCACTTGCTCTTGTCTCAGTTTGCCTACAAATATAGTATCATTTACCTTCCCAAGATATTCCTATCAACTGGATGTTTATTGCAGTGAGGGAGTTTCTCGTGACATGGGGAAATACAAGTGCTTTGTTTCCTTCCTGTAATCAGTATCAATCAAAGAGGGATTTATATTTTCTGTTGGAGACAGGAACTGATATTCCTAGTTCTACCATAATTTGCCATCAAGCTTAAGGATCTTAAACTATAAATTCAAAGATCCACGTTCGTTTCCCGAGCAGATGTGCCTCTGCACAGCTGTGCCTGCACACAGGGAAAATATGGACAGTTTCTTTATGAAGGTTTATTAGAAACCTGGAAGTATTCGTTGGATTTGTGTTCACTTTAACATAACAAGGTTCATATGGGTGCTGAGCACTGAGATAGTTGCACCTGTATGGTTTACGACATCTGAAACTTGGGAAGGCCAGTAAAATCCAAAGCTTTCATGTCGTAAGTTATTTGGCTTCAAGGTTTCTTTTTTTTCTTCTTCTTCTTCTTTCCCCTCAGTGAGTTTTAACTTTTGTGTTCTTGTCAGATGCAAACAGTACAGAAACAGAGAAAATGAAACCGGAGAGATTTTTTAAAGGTAGGCGCCGTGTTGAGGAACGTTTGTGTGAGTTAAAGGCAACCGGTTGCAAGGAAATTAAATTGTTTTCAGCAGGCTGTGCCCGTGCTTGGCCCCAGAGCAGGAACGGCAGTGTTGGCCCGGGGTGACAGGGCTGGGGTCTCCTGCGGGCTGCAGACCTGGCGCTGGGCACCCGCAGCACTTCTCAAATGCCGGGCGGGAGCGTGCTCCCCGTGGGGTTTGTCTGGACCACTGGGACCCCCCGTAGCAACCTTCTGCAATCCAGTGCTGCCTCTGAGACATCTGGACTTAAGCATTGAGAAGGCGAGCTTGCCCTGCGTGGGGGAGGCCCACCAAGGCGGTGGGATTTGTATGAAGGTTGAATCTCCCATCCATGTCCCATACATTTCACAACCCCTTTGAATATACTGCTTTTCCACTATTTTGATTACCTTTTCTAAAATACAGTCTCTCTTTAAATAAATCTGATTTTTTTTTTAAATTCCCATTAAATTAACCCTCCATGTGACTAATTATCCAGCTGAACCTTCTGGAGGAAGAGATGTTGGCTAGTCTTTGCAGCATGGTGTTGGCCTGCAATATTTACTTTTTGAAAAATGCGTTTTGCATGCAACTTTCTTCTTTTGGGTGCTCTGAAGCTACAGACCAGCAGATCTCATATCCTCCAGGCCTTATCTTGTGGTTTATCTTTCTGATGTTGCTTCCTCTTCTTCACGTGTCTAGCCCCGAGAGTTTGTGCACAAGACTGTGCACCAGTTGCGCGCTCCTAGTATGGCAGAAGAGTCTGGTTAATCAAAACCTCTGGCTAGATGGGCCACGCAGAAGAGGGCATTTCCTTTGTTTGCCGGGGGAGGAAGAGAGAAGCCATGCATGCCAGTAATGTTCACACCATCTAACTTCAGAGACCATCTAGGGTCACATGGAGAAGCCCAGGCTCCCAGTTTAGCTGTTCTGAGTCACTCAGGAGGAAACTACAGCTTGCTGTTAACTATCGAGAAACTCAGCCTTTGATTTTAGGGATGTAAGTTGAATGCCAGCGTGAGTATCCCCGTGGTGTTCAGTCGCTGAGAACAGCAAGGAAGTCCTGTGTAGTGAGGACAAAGCTGAAGTTTGCGTGCACCTACCATCTTGCAGGTCCACCTGTCACTGAGCCCGCAGAGGAGGGTGGGCGTGATTGGTTTCCAGCTCTTTTTCACCAAAGTTGAGGGACAGCTGCTTATTTGTACCCAACTGCTCCAGTCGAGGCTCCGAAGAGACGGTCCGTTAGGAAAGGCAGTGACTGCTCCTGTGTAAAGAGCTGACGGATGTGATGGGGACAGAGGTGGCAATCCGGACACAAACCTAGCTCAGTCCAAGTTCACTGCACAGCAGCATGCCCTGCCCAGAGGCGTAAAAATCTCCATCTTTGCATGCTTTTAGGCAAACATCCGCTAGGAAGGACATGGATTTATTTGAATTCTGCTTGGGACAGGAGAGATGAACTAGATGATTCCTTGAGATGTCTCCCAGCATTATTTTCAAGAATCCTCCTAGGAGCTCCCACCTCTTAAAGGAAAGTAACACTTCTGGGTTGTTGGCATTGCTCGCTATCCTGTTGTCCAGGGGAAGCAGGGCATGTGGCAGCACTTGCCTACCACTGGGTGCTGGCACAGGGCTCTTTCGCCTGCTGCCCGCAGGACGATGTGGTGATAAGAACCTCTCTGCTGCAGGGAGAGACAGATGGTCAGGTTTTGGCACAGGTTCTCCTGTCTTTGAACTGTTTAAGGCAGTGATGAGAAGGAGGGGCTTTTTCCGTTGCAAAGGTTGGGTCTGAATGAGCTTCACCCCATGGTCAAGCAGACCCTTGGTCCCTTAAAAGCCATAAAAATATTATTTTCAAGATGTTGATTAAACTTAGTGGTTCTGGTTTTGCCTATTGATTTTTTTTTCAAGATAGAAATGATATTTCACATGACTCTGTGATATTTCAGGGAGTTCTAAGCAGAATTCTTGTCCTTCCCTCAAGGGAACCGGAAGGGAGATGAAAGGAAAAGCTTTTAGGGAAGATGAGCAGTTGATTTATGTAAATGATTGTCCAACTGTACTCTGGATAGCTGATGTGTACTCCTTTCATTAGAAGTGGCTGCCTTTACACACGTTGCAGCCCTTGGGTATGAATGAGACAAACCCATTTCACATCATAATCTCCCCACGTTCTGAAGTCCCCTGGGGTCCTTGGAGATGGTGGCTGAGAGAAATGGGTGACTGACGGAGAGCGGTGAGACAGGGCAGCCGTTTCAGATGTGCATCTGCCACGGACTGTGGAGAGGCTATGCTATTTTTATGCTATTTTCTTAAAAATCTGTTTATGAGAACTCAGCTAAGTCTTGGGGTCGAAGAATAAATATATGCTTTTTTACTTCTTTTTGTTTTTCTTATTACTTCTATTTTTTCCCCAA